TGGGCAATGAAGAAAAACTTTAATATAAGTTTAACATAACAGTAAATGTACAACGTTTTGTCATAACCTGATGATGACAAAATCTTGTCGAAATGTTGTACATTTATTGTTATGTTAAACTTATATTAAAGTTTTTCTTCATTGCCCATTCAAGCCGTCTCCAAGTATTATTAAACTTTACGAAAGTTCAAAACTTTGTAGACAATTTTATGCTAAAATAGAGAATGATGTGTTACACAGCTTCTGATTGGATATTACTGAAGGATGTGTTTCACAGCTTCTGATTGGATATTACTGAAGGATGTGTTACACAGCTTTTAACTGGATATTACTGAATGATGTGTTTCACAGCTTCTAATTGGATATTACTGAATTATGTGTTTTACAACTTCTGATTGGATATTACTGAAGGATGTGTTTCACAGCTTCTAATTTGATATTACTGAATTATGTGTTTCACAACTTCTGTTTGGATATTACTGAATGATGTGTTTCACAGCTTCTGATTGGATATTACTGAATGATGTATAACACAACTTCTGATTGGATATTACTGAATGATGTGTTTCACAGCTTCTGATTGGATATTACTGAATGATGTATAACACAACTTCTGATTGGATATTAATGAATGAAACTATTCTTGCATGACAATGAAAATCCGTTGGCTTTTCTGAGAGTTGCATGATTCAAAGGTTAGCAAAAAAAATGCTACTACAATTTGAATTTGTGCAACACCAGTTAAACACCATTAATTATGCCCATAATAGTACGGGATGGGGAACTAGAGAGCTGCAGTCCCCCTCAAATTGGCCTTCTTATGAAAATCAAATCTGACCAAGTGTCGTTGACAATCAAGCTGCAAACCAATTCATTTAATTCATTTCATAAAATAAATTGAATTACTTTTATTTCCTCAGCTTTTAGGGAAAAAGTTTCGGGCAAACAAAGTTCAGCCCTCCGTAAAACAAATTTCCCATACGCCTGTGATTATGCCCCATCAGTTGCACACGAACACTTTCTTACAATCAGTTACAAAATATTTAATGCCATCAGGGATCGTTTACATTTAGTTTTGTTCCTGCATCTGGCGTGTAAACCTATCTCGTTGAAGTCATATATGTTAACAAGTCCAGAGTTTTTTACAACACTAGATATGCAAGGTCGTCATACTTTTTCTTTCCCCAAAATTACATTTTTCCATAAGCGAAGTTAATGATATTGACATTTTTATCATTTTAATTGGTGATTTTTTTATAAAAGTTTGGTAACAGTTTTGCGGCTTCCTTTTATTAATTGCTTGTGAACGTTTATTTTCAGAGTGATCCCATTACAACTCAATATGCACGCTAATATCATCGACTGTCTGTGATAAGACAGATGTTTTCATGATGATGATAGTTATCGCTAACAAATATTTGTGTTTCTTGTTATTGTTTTACTTATTCGACACTTACGTTTTAGACTACCGTTAAAATTGTGTCATAAGATGTGATAATCTTGAAGTCTCCTCGTTTTTTATCAAATTGTTTTTAATCCATCGGTTCTCCATTTGTAGATGACTCTACCCTTAATGTTAAACAACACTTACAATCAATTGTACTGGCGAAGATATACCCTTCTCACTGATTGAATGAGACCTCAATATTTTGAACTTGAAATACTAATTTCTACTACTGTTATTGTCTGCCATTTAACGCACTCAATGCTGTAATGACTCGGTAGTCGTAGCTTGCTGAATGTAGTACTTAAGTTGACTCGGTAGTGGTAGCTTGCTGAATGTAGTGCTTAAGTTGACTCGGTAGTCGTAGCTGATTGTAGTACTTAAGTTGACTCGGTAGTCGTAGCTTGCTGAATGTAGTGCTTAAGTTGACTCGGTAGTAGTAGCTTGCTGATTGTAGTACTTAAGTTGACTCGGTAGTCGTAGCTTGCTGAATGTAGCATTTATGCTGATTCGGTAGTCGTAGCTTGCTGATTGTAGTACTTAAGTTGACTCGGTAGTCGTAGCTTGCTGAATGTGGCGCTTATGCTGATTCGGTAGTCGTACAATGTTGAATACAGTACTCTATGCTAAATTAATTAACATATTTATAGAAGTTTTAGCTATTACCAGTAGCAACCATGATTGCCATGGAAGCTGTGTCAGGACATACCCACACAGACGAATTGTTTTTGTTTTAGCTATTACCAGTAGCAATCATGGTTGTCATGGAAGCTGTGTCAAGACATACCCACACAGACGAATTGTTTTTGTTTTAGCTATTACCAGTAGCAACCATGGTTGTCATGGAAGCTGTGTCAAGATATACCGACACAGACGAATTGTTTTTGTTGGGTTTGTTTTAGCTATTACCAGTAGCAACCATGATTGCCATGTAAGCTGTGTCAGGACATACCCACACAGACGAATTGTTTTTGTTTTAGCTATTACCAGAAGCAACCATGGTTGCCACGGAAGCTGTGTCAGGACATACCCATACAGACGAATTGTTTTTGTTGGGTTTGTTTTAGCTATTACCAATAGCAACCATGGTTGTCATGGAAGCTGTGTCAGGACACACCCACACAGACGAATTGTTTTTGTTGGGTTTGTTTTAGCTATTACCAGTAGCAACCATGGTTGTCATGGAAGCTATGAGGATTATTTTGCATTACAATATCGTATAAAGATAAAATAAAACGCGACTGCTACACAAAAACCTCTCATTATATTATAATATCGCGCTCGCACACACACGTAAAGTTGATGTTTATAGAGTAGAAAATGTGGATCATGTTTAATACAGTATGGCAGTTCGAACCTTGGACTTTTCAATCCGTAACTGGGAACATTCGCCGCTTAAAAGATGGGATAATTTTAAATCTTTTAAAGTTTTAATGTATTTGAGGTGAAAATCATTTCTTCACAGCTTATACTTTTGTGCGATTGGTATATATAAGGCTTAACAGTTCCCTTATATTAAATAATCTATATAGACATTAAGTTAACTTTTGTCTTTCTGTCTTCTCAAAGAAACTGTTGACCTGCTACAAAAAACACCACTCTACCGCTGGTAAAGAATCAGAGGTTCTGCGCAAAGAACGGAAGTTCCTGCTAGAGCTGGAAACCAAGAAAAAAGTCAACCATGTGAACATCAACTGTCACGAGCTAAGCTCGGGATCAACGCCTCTCATTCTGGCAGTACTAAACGGTTAGTTTCGCAACTACCACTCGTTCATCAGTCTGTCTTTCCATGCTACCAATCTAAAATAGCTCGGAAAAAAAAAAAAGGTATTCATCTGGCATATCTGAGCTACTTTTCTTTGGTCTTGCAACTTTCGTTCATTCATCTGTCTATCCTTCTATGTCATCATACCTAAAAATAAGTTAAATATTCATCACTTTTAATTGGGTTACTTTCTCTTAATTTCGCAACTTTTATTCATTCATACGTCTATTTTTGTCACCAAGCTATGATACCTGAAGCTAATAGACATATTCGTGTTCTATTTTCTTTGGTTTCTCGACTTGGTTCATTCGGCTAACTTTCCATGTTATCATGATATTAATTAATGGAAATCAAGACTAATTTGTGCGTGTTTTGTTTTTCTCTTTGTATTAAAAATTTAAAGTTGATGGAGTGTACATATTTTTATACCTTTGTATCACATCTAATATAAATGTTTGCTTGTTAACAATTACTGGGTTTTCGTTTTATGACAGTCGTTTTCTCTCTTCTTCTCTTAACATCACGAGCTTTGCTTTAAGTACAAAGCTGCACAATGGACGAGTTGCGTTCTGCCCACAGCAAGTATCGAACTTTAATTTTTAGCGCTATCAGCCCGCAAGCTTACTGCTGAGCCATTTAAGTAAATGTGTTGTAGAAAGATCCGTGAATGGAAATGTTTCTTCTATTAAAAATCGGTGAAGCGTCTGATGCTTTGCCGATAACTAACATGCACATATATATATGTATATATATAAAGACAGAGAGAGAGCTTGGCATGATCTGGTGGTTAGAGCACTGGACTCGCAATTTGCGGGTTCGAATCCTCTTCACCGAACATGGCATTTCAGCTGTGGGAGCGTTATAATGTGACGGTCAATTTCACTATTCGTTGGTAAACGAGTAGCCCAAGAGTTGGCGGTGAATGATGTTGACTAGCTAGCTGCCTTCCCTCTAATCTATCACTTCTAAATTAGGGACGACTAACGCAGATATCCCTCAAGTAGCTTTGCTGAGATTTCTCAGCACAGAGTAACTTATATATATATATATAGAGAGAGAGAGAGATAGAGAGAGTGTAATCCTAGAATGCACTTCACTAATATAACAGAGAGATGTATCAAAACTAGAATTTTGAAGATAAAAGAATGTGTCATTTTGACAGAACTCGGGATATTTTCTATAACTTGATATGGCAGAAAGTTAGGACGTTTCAGAAGTAAAAACATAGATCCCTGTACTGGATTACATTGTATTTGTACCTTTTTGTTCTACATAAAAAAGTGTTTGTGGGTTTATATCTAGGTAATCGTGAGATGATCACACTGCTTCTTCACACTGGAGCTGACGTGAATGCCACGGATTCTAAAGGGTAAGTAATGTTTTCTCTTCTTTTTTTTGTCTCAATAATAACAGCTGAACTTTGCCCTAAAGTGAAATATTTTGTGCTGTGATAGATCTCATAAAGTTTCGACAGATATTACGTCAAGGGTATGTTTGATAAGTATCACTGGACTTTTTAACGCGCACTTAAGGTCAAAGCAACCTGCAGTAGTTGTTGAAAGAAGTTCCAGACAAGTAACTTGTTACAAAGATAAACCAGACAGTAACTTCTCACAAGGGTACACCAGACAGTAAGTTGTTACAAGGGTACATCAGACAGTAACTCTTCACAAGGGTACACCAGACAGTAAGTTGTTACATGGGTACACTACACAGTAAGTTGTCACAAAGATTCACCAGACAATAAGTTGTCACAAGGGTATACCAGACGGTAAGTTGTCACAAGGGTTCACCAGACAGTAGGTTGTCACAAGGGTATACTAGACAGTAAGTTGTCACAAAGGTTCACCAGACAGTAAGTTGTCACAAGGGTACATCAGACAGTAAGTTGTCACAAGGGTACATCAGACAGTAAGTTGTCACAAGGGTACACCAGACAGTAAGTTGTTACATGGGTACACTACACAGTAAGTTGTCACAAAGGTTCACCAGACAGTAAGTTGTCACAAGGGTACATCAGACAGTAAGTTGTCACAAGGGTTCACCAGACAGTAAGTTGTCACAAGGGTTCACCAGACAGTAAGTTGTCACAAGGGTACATCAGACAGTAAGTTGTCACAAGGGTATACTAGACAGTAAGTTGTCACAAAGGTTCACCAGACAGTAAGTTGTCACAAGGGTACATCAGACAGTAAGTTGTCACAAGGGTATACTAGACAGTAAGTTGTCACAAAGGTTCACCAGACAGTAAGTTGTCACAAGGGTACACCAGACAGGAAGTTATCACAAGGATACAGTAGACAGTAAATTGTCACAAGGGTTCATCAGATAGTAAGTTGTCACAAGGGTTCACCAGACAGTAAGTTGTCACAAGGGTATACTAGACAGTAAGTTGTCACAAGGGTATACTAGACAGTAAGTTGTCACAAGGGTACATCAGACAGTAAATTGTCACAAGGGTTCATCAGATAGTAAGTTGTCACAAGGGTACACCAGACAGGAAGTTATCACAAGGATACAGTAGACAGTAAATTGTCACAAGGGTTCATCAGATAGTAAGTTGTCACAAGGGTTCACCAGACAGTAAGTTGTCACAAGGGTTCACCAGACAGTAAATTGTTACATGGGTACACTAGACAGTAAGTGATCACAAGGGTTCACCAGACAGTAAGTTGTCACAAGGGTTCACCAGACAGTAAGTTGTCACAAGGGTATACTAGACAGTAAGTTGTCACAAAGGTTCACCAGACAGTAAGTTGTCACAAGGGTACACTAGACAGTAAGTTGTCACAAGGGTACACTAGACAGGAAGTTGTCACAAGGGTACATCAGACAGTAAATTGTCACAAGGGTACATCAGACAGTAAGTTGTCACAAGGGTATACTAGACAGTAAGTTGTCACAAGGGTACACCAGACAGTAAGTTGTCACAAGGGTACACCAGACAGGAAGTTGTTGTAGAGATTTGATTTGTTATTTTCATCAGAAATATGTCAAGTATATTAATGAATCATTTCCATATAAGCCTTGACCAATAGTCGATTTGTTATACTGGTGAAAGATGACATTCTCGGATCTGTGATAATACTCACACTATTACTCACCTATCTATAATATAATTTTATGAGTTATTACAGTACAATACTGTATTATATTTAGTTCCAAAACTTTTTTAACGTAAATTAATTTTCGTTAAATCATTTCATTATTTTAATAGTTTCATAATCAGACTACCTGTTGTTAAGTTTGATTTTTATTAAGGTATAAAATAAGTGGTTTCTCGTAATAATGGTAATTGCCTTGTATAATACATGATTTATATTGAGTAAGCTAATCTTAATGTCTAGAGAAATGTTACCGATCGTAGTGTTTTGTCTCTGTAACAATAGACTTTAAAATAAGTACTATTTGTAAACTACAGAGGATACCAAAAGTTAATCAACCTAGTATGTTTTTAACTTTAGTTAAACTGACAACTAAAGTTAAACACATACTAGGCTAACTAACTGATAACTAAAGTTAAAAACATACTAGGCTAACTAACTGACAACTAAAGTTAAAAACATACTAGGCTAACTAACTGATAACTAAAGTTAAAAACATACTAGGCTAACTAACTGACAACTAAAGTTAAACACATACTAGGCTAACTAACTGATAACTAAAGTTAAACACATACTAGGCTAATTAACTGATTAAAAACATACTAGGCTAATTAACTGATAACTAAAGTTAAAACATACTAGGCTAATTAACTGATAACTAAAGTTAAAAACACACTAGACTAATTAACTGATAACTAAAGTTAAAAACATAGTAGGCTAACTAACTGATAATTAAAGTTAAAACATACTAGGCTAACTGACTGATAACTAAAGTTAAAAACATACTAGGCTAATTCTTTAGTTATCAGTTAATTAGCCTAGTATGTTTTTAACTTTAGTTATCAGTTAATTAGGCTAGTATGTTTTTAACTTTAGTTATCAGTTAATTAGCCTAGTATGTTTTTAACTTTAGTTATCAGTTAATTACCCAAGTATGTTTTTAACTTTAGTTATCAGTTAATTACCCTAGTATGTTTTTAACTGTAGTTATCAGTTAATTACCCTAGTATGTTTTTAACTTTAGTTATCATCTGCTTCAGACTACTGTGCACGTGAATAGTGCAGAAGTATGGCCACACAGACTGGCAAATGAATCCGCGAAGTTTGGTGCTGCAAATCAAATATTATGTACACGGAATAAATTTAAGTGTAAAAAAAATTAACTCTTGTACCACCCTCTACACGTGCACAGTTTTTACAGATTTCAAGATAACTGGCTACTAACTTTTTGTTTTGTCCATAAGGATGTAGCTGTGAATATGATGAGGCATATTGCCTTGGGCTGATGTATTTACGAACCATACTTCCAAAAAAGGGAGAGGGGGGGGGGGCTTGCTGTCAAGCATGACCTTTTCAGTAAATTTCACTGCTATATGACCTGTTATGCTTCACCCATTAACCCCCACGCTTTCGGGGTCAGTGGTTTTAACACGTGCGTTTCCCATTAGTCTGCTGTCAAACAACAAATCTGTTTTAATACCATCTAGTTTCAAAACATATACGTTGATAGATGTCCTCCTTTCGGAGTTAGGTTTTGCTTTATTTCTCTCATTAACTCATATCTCCTCAGCAACAACACCAGACTTATTACGGTTGTATAACGATCTGAAATATGTTTTCCAAATAAAAAATAGAAATTAAACCACAACTTCTTCGTTTTCATTTACTTAGCTCTGTAGTTGCGATTTTTTTCAAAGCATCCTTGTTAGTCAGTAATTTGAACTTTTGAAAGCTTCAGACTCAACAGGATAATATAACTGGATATTCGCTGTACATCAGTAGATGTATTTAACAAGCACTGCGCGTTAACTCTTATAACTTCCTCTTCCAGGAATACGGCCCTTCATATCGCAGCGTTTGGTGGCAAGTCAGACATCCTGGAACTTTTAATTGAAAATGGAGCAGAGGTAAGTCAGGAGCAGGATAAATTAATTATAAAAAAAACATATCGTGTTTTCTGATGAGACTCTATGACATTATTGTAGTTTCGATTTTGATAATTTCATTTCTGTTCAACGTTTATTTTGTACATGCATTGATCAAACATTTTTAATTATTTTAATGCTCAGAAAGTATAGCTCCCCCTACCGTTATATAGTCTTTCCAATTACGTGAGTTCAATTCGTAGTCAGGTGTGGAAAAATTATCCCTTTTTTTTATTGCTGAATAATATTTTTGTTTCTGAAAATCAGCATTTTTAATTTGTAAAAACTAAAGTCTGGGATATTAGTTTGGAGTGGTTTCACAAGTTGTTAGAATAGTTATTTTAACAAATAGGTTCACAGTTAAATTATTTGTTGTTTGTGTGTATGTCAAAATCAGAGTAAAAAAAAACATCGTTAAACAGATAATTATGCATGTTTTGTAACATTGTCTGCCAAATAGATCAGAACGCTGTACAGTTATACAAACTTCTGTAACGGTTCATTTTGTTGTATGCCTATTCAAGACGTCAAAAGTACAACTGATTTGTATATGTAGCATTGCTGATCAACTGTCATAATACGTAAGATCATTAAAGTCAGAGATCAAGTTACAATCAAGCCTCCATTTTTCCTCTTACGTATGGCGCATGCGCGAACAGATTGACACAGATTCTTAACTAATATTTCTCTTTTCGTTATAGGTCTAAGTGTTTAGCTGCTGGCAATCCGGTATCTTTTCAAATTTTTACATAAAGCTTAGTATAGAGCAGGCTGTATTATATACGTATGGATAGCAATCAGTGGCGGAACAAGCAGTTCAGGAGCCCGGTGCAAAGAAATGATCGGGGCCCCTTTCTGCAGGAGATAAAACCGAGACCAGCGTCGCGGCCCCGGGGCAACGTGCCCCGTCTCGCCTCGCGCTAGTTCC